AATCTCGATCAGACTTCAGTGAGCCATCACCATTCTCTTCAACGCCGTGGCAGTCGTCTGATTAAGCGCTAACTCTCTTCTGTATCGATTGAGGCTTCTATGATCTTCGGCAGTTTCCTTTAATTTTCGTAATCGCAACGCCTTGAAGTTCTCCTTTAGCTTTCGTCTAGAGAGCTTGCACATAAAACGGTGCTCCGCTTTGTCGGTTCGTTCTATCTTCACCCTCCTCTGCTTCTGTTGCAGACTCTTTGTCCCCTCTGAAATACTTTCTTTCACTTGTTGATACTATCGTCCGACTTACTTAACGCATGGACTGAATTTCTCTATGGGCTTCTCGTAGTTATCGTCCCAGCTGCCTTTCCGCCTTTTCGTCAGCTGTCTTTGCTTGACTTGCGAGCTCTGAGGCCACCTCGTAGAACATTTTAGTTGTCGGCTGTGATTTGCCATCTGCAATGTCTTCCACTCGATCCTCTCCTCGAAGGTTCGCCTGGATCGCACCAGGCAGTGAACACTACCAATGATGAAATATGGCATTATTACTGTACCCCGGATGATGCGACGCTTATCGAACAGGACGAAGTCGATCTCGTTCTTCGCAACCATGTTGAGTGCGATGCATATCCACCTGCCATTGGTCATTGTTTCTTTTTTTTCATGGTCATTAGCCGGCCTACTCGTTCATTTTGATCTCCAGCATCGTACATGTATTGAGAAACGTTTCATCGCCACATCTTCCTCTGACATTGGCGTTGAATTCTCCAATGCTGGGAGCATACGTGGATTTTGGGATCAATGGTTGTTCCAATTATTCACAGAGTTCCTCCACCTTCTCCTCATCAGCTGCACTCGTGAGAGGATGGGTTTGGAAGTTCTTGAAAACTACCTTCTTGTTCAGTTGGAGACATGCGCGTCTGGTTTTGGTGACTTGACATGGCAGGGTACGATTGTGCTGACTACAGACTCGGTCCCATCAATGTTCTTCGCCCCCTCTCCTTTTGCTGCTTAAGTGGAACTTCCATCATTCGAGACGCTATTCATCTCATTCCGGCGCAGGCCAAGAATGTCACAGGCCTTCAGCGCCATCTGGTAAACGATCCCGGACTGCCGTCAACGTTTGCACATATAACTGTAGAATATTAGCGAGGAAAGTCCGGATCCGTTTCCAGATGACGGTCATTCGCCCTTTACTTTTGTCTCTTGCCTTTTTCTAACAGTCTCTCATCTGTCAAATACTGAACCGCTGACGTGAACCGGGTCGAGAGATATGCAGGACACTGAGGTCAATTCATTCGCCTTGTAGCGAATGAAGTTCTGCCAAAATTGGGATTTCCAAAAATTGGGACTTTCGTGCCGACGGATCCCAAAATCCGTCCAGCATTTCATTGAAGCTGTCTTTTTTGGCCTTTGACGAACCGACATCTTGCCACAAGGCAGCGGTGACATTGGAGACCTTTCCCGACCTAGGGGCGGATCACGTTCGCCTCGACATGAAACTCTCATAAGCTACCGAACCCAGTCACAACTTTGTGCTCTAGTGGCTGGGTTTCTGCGACTGCTCATTTGTCGCAGCTAACCTCCATACCTAAGAGGTTGCTCACATACCGGTTACTCAAGGGCGCACCCAGATGACCGGCAGATAGGCCGAGACTTGGAGAAAATTTGGCATACAACAGGAAAATCCACTTTCACTGCTGACAGGCTGATCCACAAGTTATCCACATGGTTCAGTTGAAGACGATCCCATATTTATCAACAAAAGACTTACTAGGTGATACCTCAACGTTCTTGTCTACTAATCGGTGCCATAACGCACTGACTATAGTAAGGTTATATTCATGAATCCTCATATCGTTTTACTTTTATGATGACGCGGAATAATATAGGAATAATATATTTTTCATGGTTTGAGTAATATCTTGCGTTTAATCATAAATTAAGAAAAGATGATTATGTTCAATGAAATTCTTTATCTTTAGTAGTTCATCAATGCCTTACAATTGTGTTCTCAGTTTTAGTTTCGTCATTACTTCTGTTTATTCTTCTTTAATTGTTAAATCAGTGGGAAATAACATACTATTCAATCCTTTGCTACTGCTGACTTCACACACCGCTCTAGGTAACTTAGGCTATGAACTGGGTTTTGATTGATTGACTGGTCATGTTATCTTTGCCCTGCTGCGTTGAGTGGCCTGAAAGGAATATCGTATTATCGAGCGGATGAGCATGATAAATGTAAAGCGAGGTATCTCTTGCTGCATTGAAGATCTGTAGTGGTACAGGAGCCTACTCCAGTAGATTGAAACTGTAATATTTCCCGCCACTCGTCAGTAACATTTGCACTTGATTAAGACCTCACGGAGTGCCTCACCTGTTTGAACCCGTTGGACTGAATGAGGGTAGAGAAGACACCAGCAATAGTTCATGAGGGCTAGCAATTCGAATAATCTCTTGTGAACAAATGGTCAGAGAAAGAAGAAAACAGAGAAAATAGGTGCATGGTATCTGGTCAGGGCGAATAACACTTACGATTCGTTGAATTACACGAGGTGATTGGTTCCAAAAATGAAACTTCTCTGTCAGCGGTAGAGAGCCACGAACAACAAGAATGGGGTTGCAAATGGACAATAAGAGCATAGGATTTTACTCATGGACAGGCGACGTGTACACAAAATACCAAAATGCGGCGACCTTTGCATCTAGAAAAATCCTATTCAGCACTGGAATCTAGTTGATAGACCTCTAAATGACCAGTTTTCTTATTAATTTGAGAACTTTCGGAAAGTTACCCTTTATTCGACTAACCTAATTGGCTTTATTTTTATTAGGTATATCAAGATATCAAAGGGAATCCTGTAATATAGCAATATCGCTGTTCGACAGAAGGTCGCCCTTTATCTGTGGAACGTTTTATGCTTCGTTGTCCTGTCAAACGGGAAAAATCTTATCAGCTAAATTTCTCTAACCTCACCTCATCTCAACTGCATACCCTCTGTAGGCGTACCTAAGAACCACCGGTGCCTTACATATAAGCAAAGCATTTGTGCATATTTTTCTAAATGTTTCTGAATATCTGGCGGTCGCCGTTTGCTGCTCATTTTAAAATATCGGCAGGACGTGCTTCCTCTCAGTTTCTAGACAGCAATTTCAATGGTTGGGTGTTTGAGAAAACACAAGGTGTGATGAATCCCTCAGTCATTGAATTTTGTGTCTGTCGGTAGGTCGTTTATCAGCGACACAGCCGATTGGGACGAAAGCAAACATCAGGTTAAAATGAGATGTTAGGATCCGGTCCTTGACACAGGTCGACGTATCTACAGCAAAGAAGAATATACAAGTGGGCGTCTCTTTTAATGAAAACATCAGTAAACGCCATCTGGCAAATCTGTTTATGCTCTGAAATGCATTGCGTAATATTATTGGGATCTTGGCTATTAAATGTTCACGTATTATGTGCAAATGAATGGCTTTATTATGCAGGATGGAAATGTCACACGTATACCTTGAATATAGTGCAGGTTTGAGGTGAGGTGAACCCGGAAAAAGAGCATTGTACTCTATCATTTATATAAACTTTATCGACGACAGCTCAAACAGGAGTACTCGGTGGATTACCGACACGCCGACCGTGTATTAAGTTATCAAATTTAAAATAAACATTGCAGGTAACTATATCAATTAAGTAAACAATGTCGCCTGGGATCAGGTTGCTCAATGTGTGATTTGCATTCTTACGTATAGCTCTGCTCTTGGTTGTAACATCATCATTTTCCATGACCGTTTATCGTTTCCGGTAGCGGAGGCAGAAGCGAAATACATGGCCTCCAACGTCCTCGATCCTATGCCAGTGTCTGAGCTTCGACAGAAGACAACTGGGGTCCTTCCACATGTTTGCACCAGGTTAATCTTGGCCGTCCCCTGGGCCTTCTGCCGGTCGGATTTGCAAGGAACAGTTGC